ATGGCCTGATATTTTCGCACGAGAAGCTTCAATAATTGATCAAGTTCATCCAAAGAAATTTTTCGTGGCTGACACCTGCAAATTTGACATCATGAAAAGTGAGTTATTTAACTCTAGTCGTTATATAAATAAATAATATCTTCTTGTCCTACAGCTTCTCGTGGTTATGAAGCTATCAACATTAATATTATCGAGAGAAATATCAATTCGATTCGTAAGTTACCTAAAATTCCGAAGAAAAAAGAGACCGATCCAAAAAAAACAGAAATATCCGGTGAACTGTTCCAGTCGACATTGTAAGCAAGACTCAATTTATTCTTGACTTGATGTATATTAAGTTGTATTCTATTGTAGGGCTATGCTTTTTCGTGAAGCTTTGAAGAAAAAGTAAATCCAGTTGATCGTCGATTGATTTATAACAACAACATATCTATATAACATTTGTTAAGATTTTTAACAGCTAAACAAAAGAATTTTTAAAAAAAAGATCTTGTATTAAAGGAAATTGTAAAAAACAATTTATCGTTTACTTAATAAAATACTTAATGAAAAAAAGAAGTTTTTCTCATGAATACTTATTTGTTTTCATTCATACATTGAACTAAATAAAAGAAAATCTATACAAAACAAATGAGAATTTAGTCGAGCAATTATTTCAAGGGGAAACAACTGACTTTATGACGTAAATGATTTAAATGAGCTAAGTGATCTAAATGATCTACATGTGATCTACGTGATCTAAATGACTTTAAAGTCATAAAAGTCAATTGTTTTCCTCTTGGATTCTGCTTATATTCACTGTGACTGTTGAGTCTCTGTTAGGCTACTGGAGCAAGGAAATAATTTTCTATGGTCTATTTGTTATCGATGTTCATAAACAAGAAAATACTTAATACTTGAGATCGAGATTGCAACGTAATCTAATCTATTATTATGTACATAATATTTTTGAAGCTAAAAATATCGTCGTCAAGACAACCGACGAGTATAAAAATAATTAGACATTATTGTTTTTCTGATTTTGACTAGTCTACTCGCTCCAAATGCATGTCATTCTCACAAAAATGTGAATATTCAAAGAAACTTCGTGAAAAATTCGTGTATTCTACAGAAACTGAGTGGTGCGAAAATAATCGGCATCAAAGGATCAAAATCCAAGTACGAACGCTGTTCAGTCTTATATTTTAGTCAGGGAAAATTAATTGAGGCTAAGAAAATTCTGATAAAATTCGTGACCGTAATCTATATACCGAGAGTCATGATTGTTTCACTGGGATTCTAGCGTATTCGTAATTATTTATAAAAATGTTGAACCACCAAAACTGAGATTTGAAACGTTAATTTAAGGTACGTCTGATGGACTTAATAACACTCGAAAACTTTGAGCTAGTAACATTATTATTTTCTCCAGATATTGCGTATTCATGTAAAAATTTTTTTTTCATTTAATTTATTGTGCCATTTTATTTAGGTTCACAATTTTTACGCGAAAGAAGAGAAAGAAGATAGAAGAGAAAAAAATATATATATATCAGCACACCAATTAAGGATACACAGAGAAGAAAAGGAAAGAAGGATTAATATGGTTTTATACGTCATAAATAGATCAGGTAGAGATAACAGAAAAGAAAAAAAAAGAAATTCAGATATCTGGTGACATCACTTATATATTTATTACAAAATCTAGCGAATAGAAAATAAAGTAACGAAGATATGAGAATGGTGGAATACATTTGCGTATTTGTATATCATTTCAATGAGGTCCATTTTCTTTTTAGTCAACAATTTTATTCAATATGGAATGCTTGATTACTCGATTTATCTTTTTCGATTTATTACTATGAAAGAGTAATACAAAAAAAAGTTGTGTGGGTATTTTATATATTGCATATGTTTATTTTTCGTTTTATTTTAGTATGTTGTATTGATGGATTATTTCATGTTTCAATTAGATTATATATTCTTTTCTCGTCTTATTTTTATTATTATTATGATTATGGTGATTCAAGGAAGTATTTATACACAAACAAATTCAGGTAATATGAGTTTTGCTATATATATGTTGACCAAGGTGATTTGATGATTCGGTTCGAGTAGTTTAAATAGATGTTAGATATCTCTAGACGATAAATAGCTATCATCATTTTGGAATTTTTTCCTATATAATATATCCGGTAAACTGATTTTATTTTATTTTCGACATAAAATATTGACTATAGAATAAGATTGAATCCTAATCGAACAATGTTGAGATTGATAGTTGTCTCATCTTTGAAGACCGAAACGAGATTTTACATATATTATATCTTATTAGAATATTTCAATCGAAAAAAAAATTTTCAATGAAAATAAAAGATAATTCGATGTAAAATAGAAGATTTGATTTCAATGTAAATGGTTAGTTGTTTAAAAAAGTAAAAGGTTATCTCGATAAATAGTTAACTGTTAGAAATAAAATATCTTTATTAGAAAATGACTTGTTTATATTATATTCGAATATTTGGCAAAGAATTGATTATTGAACGGTTCTCTATTCTTTTTCGTCGTTTCGTTATATAATTATTATATTGAAAAAAGTGAAAGGTATATTTACTTTGTTTTTTATTTGTGCAAAAATAGAATCAATCACACTCTCAAGCTTTGAAATTGGTCATAGCAAGGTTTTGTTTCATATTGAATTTGATACGATATAATTCTAAGAACAGTTATCAATTCTATACCACTGTTCATATATTAATAAACTCGCGTTCGTGCTTACTTTGATTTATTTTTTTTTGTCTTATCAATCAATGGCAACTAGTAGTGAAAATTCACCTGGTCATGAATCAGTTGTTATAGACAATGATGAAGGAATAAATGGTGAGAGTAATCGAACGACTACTCATTTCAAAAGTAAAGTTTTTTTTTCGAAGAATAATGAACGTGTTCTTATTGGTAATAAATCTTTAATTTAAAAACTAAAACGAATATTTTATTATTAGAAAAAGGTGTTA